AATGTTGTTTGAATCAGGTCAGCCTCCTATTAAATTTTCACACATATTATGTATAACAATAGTAAAAGGGTTTGTAGAACAAATCACTGCTACACCGCTGATCTTAAGTCCAAGTAACATGTATAAATCTTCCAATGTAATTGTGCATTCTCTACATACTAAGTGAAATGTGTGTATTTCAGGTCTTCAACGTTCCACTAATGCATATATCAGCGACCCTTTATTTGCATGTCACAAAATTAAGAAATTCGATCAAATCTACCATGTCATAAAATTTTCATAATTTTAATCTTTAGAGGTGTTATTGACAAGTGACGAGAGCGTAACATTTTCATTACCTGTTATAAATAATTAAAAAAATCATTATTACTAAAACAACTATCTATATTACATAAATAGTAATAAATATTTAAAAAATTATAAAATTCTTATAAAATCAAACTTTATTATAATAATATAATTGACAAAAATATTTACAACAAAATTACAATGTACTTCAAATCATATATAATCAAATTTAAATTAGCATAACAAATAAATGATAACACATTTTAAAATAAAACTTACGAGCTTTTTATTTTAGGCTTTTTTCAACACAAATTCAGCATTTTTTTAATTTTAATTACCATAACAATATAAATTATTATAAAAAATCCAGATTTACTTTTACTTACAAAAAGAAAATCAACTACTATATATTCTTAATGTTATATTTTATTTATTAAAAATTAATCTATAATTAAAATACACATAAAAAATATATTAAATAATATAGAAAAACTTACATTTAAATTTTAAATTTGTTCCGAAATATGTTTCCTTGAATCAACGGTTGTATCTTTAACCATTTTTTCTGCAATTTTAATTTTTTAACCTCTAAATATAACTTTTTCTATTTTTTCCTCCTAATTTTCTACTACCTCTCTCGACCTTCTCTCTATTTCTCCAGAATCTCACTTCTTCTTCAACTTTGTCCCACTCCTTTTCTCGCATGCAGCAAATATATAAGCTTAAAATCACCATTAGCGTTTTAAAATGTTCAAAATCGCCAACGTTGACTTTACAAAGTCAAATTCCCTACATGGCAGCATACAAAATCGCCAACAATGAGTTTACTATCGCCTAGACCCGCTTGCATCGATTTAATGATACAACTTTTGTAAAGCTGCTTTTGACCAAGCTAAAAACGCCTTTGGCGATTTTAGTCTCTGCTTTGAACCCTTGCATGGAACTATTTACGTAAAATCGCATTTGACATTTTTAGTTACGCCATATTCTTGTAAATGTGCAAAAAAAATCATATTTTAGTATTTACCATTTATTAATCTCATATTTAAATTGCTTTCTCCGATTAGATGAAGGCACATTCTATATTTTTATTTTTTTAGTTTACTAATTTTTAACATATATTTAATATGTTTTAAAAACTTTATGAGAATTATATTTTAAATTTTCAAAATAAAATTTTAATCATTTTTAAATTTCATCATAAAAAATATTTTTTTTATTCTCCCATCTTAAAATTATTCCGAAGGAAAATAAAATGAGTATTTTAAGAAAAAAAACTAATTGTAAAAATTCACAATCTTTAACATATGTAATTATTAGATTTAAGAAACATAATTAATTAGAAATTTTCAAAGCAATTAATAACTTTAATTTTTTAAATATATAAAATAACTACTAAATAACGATAAGGTTGTATATTATGTTTGAATTGTTATTGATGTTTAAAGTTTTGTAAAAAAAATCAAGAAAGGAATTAATATTATGAATCTTATAGAAAGTTACTACCAAACTTCTTATTAAACCTCTTATCTATTGTATTTATTAAAAACTCAACGTTCCATTATTCTCTATTAAACAAGATTAATAATAAAACTGAAATATTATTAAAAATTGAATCAATCATAAGTAATACACATTAAAAATATGTTCTATTATTTTCCTTAGTAGCCATGGTGAGCTAGGTGTTTTATAAATCTTTTTTTAAGTCGATATGATGACAAAGTCGAAGGCATAGGAGTAAAGTTTGCTTAAAGAGGCAAAGAAAAATCTGGCTAGGGAGGACTTAGAAATATCTAGAATTTTTATTTTTCATGTATAAAATTAAATTTTAAAATCTTATTTTGAGATATATTACTTTAAGAAATTTTTAATAACACACTATTTTAAATATACTTTAACGACATTTTTTTTATAATTTATTAACTTTAAAATAAATAAATAAATTATAAAATAAAATATTTTTAACTTAAAAAATAAACTATATGCATAAAATATACTTAAAAGTGTATTATTAGCCTTTATTCTTAAATTAACTCGTTTGTTGCTTAGAAGATTTGAGCATGACATATGAACCTAAGACTTTTTATATTTGAGAAATTATTGTTTCATTTTCCTTTTTTACAAATAATTATAAAAAAGTTTTAATTTTATTTTCAAAATTTATATTTATTATTTGTGTATAAATATTTTAAAATAAAAATATCTATCTAATTATTAGTTTATGGAAATAAGCCCATCATTAATTTTGATCTATTTTGATGGTGAAAATCAGCCTGGAATCCGCCTTACTTTGATGGTGAAAATATAAAGAAAATGTGTGTCAGCTGCTTCCTCTTGTTGCAGATCTGAGTAGCCATGGCACCAGTAAGGATTTGATATGTATAGCACCTTTGATTGACTGATTGCACCCCTAAATAATAAATTTAAAGTAGAAAAGATAGCACTGTCACAACTACACTTTCGAGCTTGAATCAATTCAAATATTCATACTATGCCAAAAGCAAAATTCCCCTATTTATTCACATAAATGATGCCAGCTACAAGAAAAGAATGCAATGTTACAATATCATGTCATTAAACTTATTATTTATCTATTTTTTATTTTTAAATGAACAAAAGAATATTAGTCAAAATTAATAATTAATATTATTTAAAAATTTTACATATAAAAAAATAAGAACAAAATTCTTATTGTTTCTGAACAGATAAACACGAACTACAATAACGTTCTTTTATGGGTATTATAATGTATTGACGTATTCATATAACTTAAAATAGTTCTCTCATTTCTATTATTTGTAAGGTTAAGTAATTAATGAAATAAATTATGTTAAAAGAAAAATATAGTAACAAATCATAAAAGATAACCAAGAATTAACAAAAAAAAAAAAAAAGAAAGAATAACCTAAGATACTATGAGATATTTTTAAATGTATTTTTTTAAATATTTGATTTCGTTTATATACAATCTTAGACTATCTTTTCAAGTTTTTACAAAATTGATTACGTATCTATCTTTCAGTCTAAAGAATAGAGCTTTATTAACAACTTCTTTCCTGGTAAAGGAAAAAATGTAGTGAATAAATCTTGATTTTAAGTTTTAAATAATAATTTGAATAGGAGAAACCTGATAACTCAAATCATAGTTTGAATAAAAAGAAAATTATATATATTGAATTTGAATATTATTATACTTATTTTTAATGTAAGTATTTATTATGCATATTGTTAAAATAAAATTTCAACTATCGTTAAAAAATAATACAAATAATATGTATGATATTGTCCATAACTTTTATTTTGTTTTTAATTAACATATTTAGAATACACATTCGCATATTAAATTCATTTAGATTATTACATTATCAAATTTATTTTAAAATGAAAAGATGTCAACCTTTTTTTAATCAAGCAAGACATTATTCTAACGGTTACATTATCTAAATTATTAGAACTTGAGGTTATACAGTATATTATGTATACAAATAAAGTTTATTTGAATTGATTTCATAATTTATCAGAGTCAAGTTGTATTTTAAACTTAAAAGATACTTATGAAAATATTTATAAATCAGCCACCAACTATCTATAACTATATTTTAAGAGTATATCTTAATTACTTTTTAACAGTTAAATACAATTTCTTTTATATATATATATATATATATATAACGTGAAAGAAGGAAAATCCTAGGAAATGATGAGTTGATGACAGTCACCATCTACGTTGATTGTTGACATTTTTTCCCCTCTGCACTTTATTTTTTTCATTAGAATGCAGGGAGAAAAAGAAGATAGTAATTAAAATAAATAAAATGATAAGAATTTTGCGACAATTGTTGCAACTAGCAAAAAGTTCAAAGCGCAAGCCCAAGCCTCACTTGCGAGTTATGGTCAACTAGAATCTGAAAAAAGCCAGTAACGTGATTATTGACCAACCAGACATTAGTCAAGGTAGGGTTCATATGATGCTCATGACTGTATGTCTGTATAATCATGTACTAGTGTGTCTGTCATTGGGCCAACCCAAAATGTGCCACTATTCCCCATCAAGTGTTCGACTCCAATAACTGAGAATTGGGAGACCGGACTCGGATGAAAGACGACAAACAAGATTTGAATCTAAATACAATTTTCATATATATCAGCAAAACACGTTATTTATACAAGGAGAGATTAATCAATTTTGAAAACATACTAGTTCTTGACTGAACAAGTTTACTAACTCATTAAGCACCCTTTTTAGTTATTTTTCTTTTTCACTGCATTGGATAAAATCTCATGCTAATACGTTAGTCATTGTGGGAAATGCTAATCATATTTCACTATAAACTTGAGAGAACCAAAAAATCTCAAAATCATATCAAACGCAGACAACATTGCTACAAGAACCAAAATCCTTGAATTATCTTATAGTAGATCATGTAATTACATTTATCAGTAAATATTTCTATAATGAAAGAGGAAAGGGATAGGGATGGCCCCGAAGAATCTTTGAACAATGTAGAATCAAGTAAAAGAATGGAACTATGCCTAACGTAAAGGATCTCTACACTACCCTCAGTATCATGAATCAAAAAATAATTTCTGTAGAATGTAACTGTGGGAAAACTAAATGGTTTACCACCTAAAATTACATTAGCACAACCTAGGTTAGTGCCATGTGTTGGACTTATTGTGAGTAAACATGTAAGTAAGCAGAATATTCCTTATTAACTTAATTCAGGAATGTCGTTGGAGTTTAAATCTTCCCCTATGGGTATATTTAGATCCGGAAGCAAGAATGAAGATTCTTGGTTACTAATCTCTTTCTGCTTTGAGGAAGCAATTGCTATACGAACAAATGATTCATCATTAAGGACCTTGTCTTGGACTGTTTGTGCTGGATGGCAGTGAGCCTCCACAAACTGTGGTGGGTAAAGGATCGCTTTCCCAGTTTTGTAGGTCTGTTGTGACGTCAAATCAAGCTGTTACAAGAAGTCAAAGCATGATTAGATTCTAATAAATCATAGAATTGTGTCCATACCAGTTATTTCAAATATTAAGAAGTCTCGAACTTCGTTATGTAACAAAGAATGAGATAGAAGAACAAGAAAAGGGTAGAAGAACAAGAAAGTTACCTTTATTTTCTTTAAGCTTTCGTTTGTTGCTTTTTTTTTCTCCATGGTGAGATGCAAGGATGCAAGTTCCTGTTTAAAATTCCAAAATGGAAACGAACAATAAGAAAGACGTAACTCTGTGTGTGTGTGTGTGTAGAATATAAAAATTAGTACAAATCAAACATTTTTCAAAATTTTCTTTTCTTTCAACAGCAATTTCTCCTCCTGTTGTAGTTCAGCCAGTGTCTGCAAACAGGACAAAATTTAAAAACAATAAGATATTGCTATTTTCACTAAGAATTAGCAACTAAGAATAAATACATACATCTGTAGAAAAAAAAAATTATAAATACCTTTCTCTTTCTCGACCTTTTAGCTGTGGTTGTTTCACCGGGATCTACAGCCTGCAACCAAATATAGCAGAGCTTATTATTCATCACATTACAAACCAAACTCTTGGAATATGCAGAGTGAAAGAACATGATGATATGATGATTTCTAATTCCGGTTGAACAACTCTTTGTCTTCGAACTTGAGTACCAAAAGTTTTTGGGGTGACAAAGTTGAAATATATCATTACTACATACAAGCAATAAACCAGACAGTATTATTGCTTTGAGAACATTAAAGATTACTATTGTATGACAGAAGAAAATCAGAGACAGGAAAGCTGCAATTCAATCACCAAAAATTCGTTTTCTTATAGGCGTGTCACTGTTCAAATAATTATTAAATGAACAAATAAGCATACATTAAGATTTTTCTGAATATTAGATCTTTTCCTCCTTTGACTGAGACTCGTTAGAGATAGAACTATGTAATATTTACAAACAAGCACCAAGTAATAAAGAGGTGATCAGATTAACCCCGCATCCTCATGAATGGCATTAGCATAAATGTCATGTTTTGTAAAGTTTAATTACATATTTTTTAATTCATTCAAGAAATTACTAAAAAAGAAACTCCTATAGTCCTATATAATATAATCAACTTTAATTTCTAAATACTCCTCCTGTGCCAATACTCAATTAATATCTCCCATTGTTATCTATTTCTCTCCTCATTTCACATCACATTATCTATTACATCTAGTTTTTTCCTTCTTCTATTTCTATCTCTTTCAAGATTAGGGTGTCTATTAAATACTTTCCTAAACTAATATAATTAAGCAATTTCATTATCGTTGCTTATAATTTTCTGATGGGAAAAAGCAAGAAGGGAGGACTTCATCTGAAGGCTGAAGATGGTGAGGTACACCAGGGAACATACCACCATCATGTAATTATAAATGCAAATTCCCACCCGTATCTGTTTGCACAGCACAATACGCGTCCAATATATCACATTCTATCGTACCCCTTGTTTGTTTGGAAGGAAGGAAGGTGGGAGGAAAGAAAAAATTAAATTAAATTAAATTGAAAGAAAAATAGAAGGAAGGAAAATTTTAAAATTTTATTTTTAAAATTAGACTTTTTATTCCTCTTTCTTTCCTTTTTTCATTTAACCAAACAAACAAGAATGCATATCATCCGTGTTTTCCTTGCTTTTTATTTGCTTCCTCCCTAACCAAAGGAAGCAGTAATGAGTAATGACACATTGACGCTACTCTGCAATGTTCCGTACTATATCACGAAAATCCCACATTGTAAGCCATAAGATGCCATCATTTCTAAAATAAATACATCATCCATTCTACTGGCACGTACACCTAGGTACTAGTGAGAGTTAAAATATTTTTCACACTAGGACAAATTTTTAAAAAGTAAACATAATTTTTCTTTTTTATTATTAAGTAATAATTCATACTAATTTTTTTAAAATAATTCAAATTCACTCTTTATATATAAAAATAACATAAAATTTCTATTAACAATAAAAACTACTAAAAGAAGTGTACAAAAAAAGGATTGATCATAGCATTTCTCTCATAAAAAAAAGGCATTGCTAACGCGAAATATCTTAATTAAAAAGACCCTTATAAGTCCCAAACTCAATTAAAATGTGTTTGTGTCATTAATTTGGTGACAACATTTCCCCATATGGAAGCTAACAAATTGTCTCCACCAAGCACCCCTTTTTCTCCAACTTCATTATCCTTTCTAGGTGGTTTAGTTGCATCACATCTTCAGTTCTTCATACTAATCTTTTATTATCATGGAGGATAAAATAAATATAAAAGTGAAGCCAAAACCGGTTCATTTCTTTTCCTATCAGAGTCTCCATATCAACTCGGAATAAAATATACCAAAAAATTTGACCAAAGATTCTCACTTTGTAGACCCCACTATTAGCGGGCATAAAAAGACTATGTTATCCTTTGGAATAACAGAGCCAGCTAAAAACCTGCATATACACTATCCCGCAATAAATATTATTATTATCCTTGGGAATATCATGTTCGCAGTAACAATAATAACCATTTTTCCAAGTAACAATTCTTAAAGTATTCATCATCCGAAGTTGGGAAATAGCAATTACAGTGATAAATTAAATAAAATTACATTATTGTTTTATTTTTAATCATTTATTCATTTAAAAGTAACTAATGAAAATTATTTTGGTTAAGAACCACGAATTTTTTTTTAACAAAATATATTTTTATATTTAGTTTAGTATTTGCATCTGCTGTTATTCCGGGGAGTTACGAATGAATGAAAGTACCAAACGAGAATGCACCCGCACGGAGCGGTACAGTGGGGAAGATTACAGTGGATTATGTTATGGATGAACCTCGCAGCGCAAACACCCAAAAAGGTACACACCCACTAATAACACACACAACACCACCATAGTACATGCCACCAGAAAAAGCTGGTGGGGACTTTTTGATATTACGAAACTACCCCTTATACTCGTAGGGAGGCAACAGTTAGAATCGATGCTGCTAATAATTAATTTATACACTTATTATTTCTCTATAAAAACTTAAATTAGTTTTAAATTATTCCCTTTTTTTAATGATAATAAAAAATAATATTTTAACATATTTCTTAAAAAAAATTCCAAAGCAGTAAGGTATAAAAATAATATAAATTTTTTCATATTATATTAATAAAGTCATTTCCAATTGAGATAATAATAATAATAATAAAAAAACTAATCAGCGTAAAAACCTAAAAAGGAAAATGTAATTATGCAGAGAGACGAAAATGGCCCTTTGGCTTCGGGCGTTTACGGTAATATCCGCGGCTGAAGCGCCGAGGAAAAAACGCGAATAGTGGACGGAACGGAAGGCGTTGACGGAGATGGGAGGCGGCGAGAGGCACAGATGGGAGGGTAAAAGTGGAAATAGAATGGTAGTTTGGTCCAATGAGAAGGAAAAGTGAAAAGTGTCAGAGTGAGAGTACAAAGAAGCAGAAAAGGGAGTTTCCTACTGGGTGTTGGTTTGTTGAACCATGGTACTCGTAAAACACCGCAAAAATTAAACAAGAAAGAAAAGAAGAGGGAACGAACCTTAGATCCCGAGGCTGAGGCATGGAGAGATGGTTCGGCGTCGGTCCAGGAGAGGGGGGTGGTGGGGCTGCCCCTGGTTGATTGGGGTTTGTTGTGGTGGGGCCGAGAACGTGGCTGACGAACGGTCCAGTGCAAGTTAAGACAGGGTTGGGGGTGGCGGATGCGGAGGAGTAGGTCCGCCACGAGGGTGTCGTCGGCCAAGGCTCTCGTAACCCAGTCGTCGTCGGAGTCCGACATGAAGCAAGAAGAAGAAGAAGAAGGTGGTTCGTGGCGTGGTGAATGGTGATGGTGATGGTGATGGTGAGAATGTTGAATTAAGAAGAAGAAATTGAAAGGGTTATATATTGTTGACAAACCTAGGGAAAAGGGTGGGGTATCGCTGCCTGGCCCTTTTGTCTTACGTGGCAATCCTTAACTTTCTTCGCTTTTTCAATTTGATAACTTCTCTCAATCTACTCTCATATATACGCGCATATGTAACTACTGTTACTGTAGCTTCTCGGTTTCGTTATTGTTTTTCATCAAAACAATTATACTTTAATTTTTCACCTTTTTAGTAATTAAGATTTGACCTTACAAATAAATTCTGATAAAGATGTAAAAAGTTAAGATAAGATATGATATTTTTTATCTTCTCCATTATTTGGCGTATATTAAGTATTTTATTAAATAATATTACATTGCCTTGTTTTCTGTTCTTTTTATTAACATTATATCGCACTTATTCTTCTCGATATATTTTAATTATTAACTAAAATTTATTATAAATATTAATTTAAGAGAAACATTAAAAATTCTAACCAATGTGGGAAGGTTTAAAGAGAGAAAAAAACGTCATGTTTTTAAATTTTAAATTAAAATAATTATTCATCATTTATGATGATTAATATATTAATTTATATTTTTTATTTTTATTAAATATTAATTTTAAAAATAAATTTTATCTTTTCTTGAAAAATTATAATTCTCAAACAAAAAAGAGAAATAGTAGTGTCAAGTTATAGTAAAAAATATATAATTATTATGATAATAATTTAAAAATTAACACTAAATGTTGATATATTATAACAATAAAAAATGGCATGGACTGGTTTTAATGATTTATTTTTATAATATACCTTTTAATTTATTATTATTTTGACGTGGTAATATTGATTTTTTTATTAAAGTTTGTTTAAGTGAAATAAAAGTATTATAAACAACAAAAATTTTATATACTTAATACAGTATCAATGTTCAAACTTTAAACTGACTTAAACTAACACAAAATTTCACTAATTGATCTATGCATTCAAAGATGAAAGATAATTTATTATTGTTTTGAAAAAAAAAATTATTATTCATAGTAAAATTAATTACGGCACAAAATGACAATAGCCTAAAACACTGTCGATTTATTTTATTTAAATAATGTATAGATGATTTGCTAAAATATTTTTTAATTAAAAATATCAAATTTATCTAATTGAGTTTATTGTGTGTTTAGTTTGTTTATTGTATCAAAATTTATATATTAAATATGAATATTTATTCTTAAATAACAACTTTTTAAAAGTTACGTTAAATGTGAGCATTTTTATGATATCATTTTTTTTCTCGTCATGTGACTTCTTTCACATTCAATAATAATAATTTTTTTTAAAAAAAATCATGTCTTTAATCTAATCATATTTAATATAATAGAATCTTTTATTATTAATAATAAAAATATTATTATTTTAATATATATATATTGAGGAAGTATACGTCAATAATTTTGATATATTGTTGATACAATTTTTTTACATTATTTGATAATTATAAAAAAAAATTTAAATATATATTTAGAAGAAAGTTAAAAACGCATTTTACATTATTTGTTACAATGATTTGCACTTTCATCTATTATATATTGAGGAGATTTTATGAATATTTTGATAGTTGATGCTATTTTTTCATTTTTCATATTCATTTAAAAAACCAGGACAGTAATTAGAGAATGTTGGTTCATCAGGTTGTTTTTTAAAATTGCGATTATTGAGTCATTTATTTTTTAAAATTTCATATTTTTAAATAAAACTAAAATGAGGAGCTTTACTCTTATTTTATGATTTAGTTTTAGTGCAATTTGAATTAGTTCTAAATGAATATAACTAAATCTATCTTTTGTATGCTTGTCTATTTTTAATTGTTTTAATAATTGATTTTCTCAATTTTTTCTAGTTCTTTGACAAGAATATTCGCATTTATGAATTTGTTATCTAGTTTGGAGTTTTTGAATTTATTCACTACTTTGGAGAATCATGATTTACTCTTTTAGTATGCATCGAATTCTTGTATAATAGGTATTAACTAATTTGGTTGAAATTATTCAATCTCACTTACTGAATTATTTATTTATTTTTTGATAAGTGTTTTTTATAATATAAATTATTAAGTGATTTTACTGATTTAAACATCTTTATTTTTTTATTAATGTTTCAACTCAGAATATAAAAATAATATTTACACCAAATAATGTTTGAATTTAAAATACATTTTTAAATCTGACATGTTCAAGCAAAATATTCACTTACACTGCAAGATAAATATAAACTTAACTATTGTAAATAAGATTTATTTTGTTATAAATATTTAAATAATAGAAATAAAATAAATATTTTAAATATTTGTCAGCGTGTATAAATATAAAAGTTTTTTAACAGTATAGATTTATTTGAATGGAAGAGAATTGACAGTATAGATTTAGATTTACGGTGATTTATTCTTTAAAATATCACAGTGATCTGTATGTACAACAAGTAACATATTTTAAAGATATAAAAGTATTATTATTACATTCCAAACAAAAACATGAAAATTCATGTTATTCTATCCGAATATCACATAATTTAATGTATTAATAATAATATTAAATATTATAAATATTTATTATATTTGTTTCAATACACATTATTAAAACTGCTGTAAGAATTAGTTAACTTTTCTGTAATAAAAATATCTGAAAACTTTTCCTTAATAACTTTTTCTGTGAGTAATTTTTTAGGTGAGTTTTCCTTAATAAAATAGCTAATAAAAACAAATTATCTAATATAGTTAAAATATTAGATAAATCCGTCACAAATAATCCCTTAATTTTACCATGCCCATCTAATTTCATATATTTTTTGAAAAACTCGTAAAGGAAAAAAAAAAAAAAAATTGTTTTTTTATTAATCTTTATCATGCGCACAGCATAGTGAGTATCAAAGTCAGGGAAGTGTTGAAGCCGCTATGAAATGAAATCAGTGTAGCTAAAACCCTAACACACTGCAAAACCCTTATGCCATGGCTCTTCTTCTCCATCTCCGTCTCCGAACCACAATCAAATCCAACACTTCTCTGCTCCGCCGCCTCTTCTCTACCTCCAACTCCGGCTCCGGCGATCAAGCCCCTCCCAATTCCAATTCTCCGTATTCTTCCTTTTTCGGAGAAGTCAAGGACAGTCTCAAACAACGGTCCGCCAAGTCTCAAGAAGCTTCTCTCGATGAGATCCAGAAGAACGTGTCGCAGTTCCGAGCCTTAACCTCCGCTCCTTCGCCGCCGCAGCAAATCTCGTTTCAGAAGATCTACAGCAACCGACTAGCGCAAGAAAAATCTACCGATTTCAACGTGATTCGCGAAAGCTTGCGGAATTTTGGCAATCGCAAGGGGGCGACGCGAACTTCCCCGGAGGCGTTAAAGAAGGTGATCGGCGGGACGAATGCGTTGCCGGAGTTGGTTTTTGGGAGGGAGTTGAGGGAGAGGAAAGAGGGGGATGGCTCCTCTGCGACGAAGATGGGGTTCGTGAGGACTTACAAATACGAAGAATTGGGAGAGAAATTGAGGATGTTGAGGCCACAGGGAAATGCGAAGGGAAAGGACTGGTTTTCTCTTAGCAAATTGAATGAGAGGTTGACGAGGTTGAGGGAGATTGAGGAGAATGAAGCTACTCGTAATTCCAAGGGCGCTGTATATGCTGAGGTGAGAGATTGTCTCGTGCGACTGGATGAAGCTAAGAAGGACGACTCGAAAAAAGCTTCAAGTTAGTAACAATTTTGGTCATGTGTTGTTATTACTGATATATTACTATGTTGTATTTTTGTTTGAAGGAAGTAACTAATGGAATGAATTTTTGCAGTGCAGAGACTTAATATATTGGGCCAGTTGGCTGCTAGAACACCCTACTCCCTTGAGCCTCCTAAAGAGCATCTTGTTGAAAGGGCAAGTATGCTTTGCTTTCATAAGTTTCCTAATCCATTTTGATTTTGAGTTATTGTCTCTCCTTCCTGTTTTGTGGATCCATGTGGTCGATTCACCTAGTGGGATAAGGCTTTGTTTTTGTTGTTGTTGTTGTCTTTGTCTTTCGTTTCCGCTTTGCTGATGTGAACCTTCATTTGATTGTTACAATACGAGCAATTTTCAGATGTCAAGTCTTCTAGCTTATACATTCAATGCTCTCTGTTTTTTTTTTAATTGCTAATTCTAGTCAGGGTTGTAGTTATGGATGGACATTTGATGTATTGAAGTTATTTTATTTTTTTAATGAAGTGATTCTAGCCTTTGATGCTGTTGTTTGCTGTTGGCCTGTTCAGTACTTGGAAATGGCTGGTTGGTTGATGTTATTTCACATTATTGAATGAACATGTACTTTTGGTTTCAATTTTAAATGTCTGTAGCCTAACGTCTAGTATTTTGTTAATGTTAATTAAATTGGATGTCCTATATTGACGCTTTTATGTTTGTTCCAGTACTTTCATCCGGATAATATGTCCTCCGCAGAGAAGATGAAAATTGAGCTCGCAAAGATTAGAGAAGAGTTTAAAATGTCAGAGTCTGATTGTGGTTCTGCTCGAGTTCAAGGTAAAGGAAATTATTCATTAACTGATTTTTGCAGCGTTTGATAAATGGGATTTTGAAGGAGGAAAATTGGTTTGCATTACTCATCTGTTCTCCCGCTCTGATTGAATGTGTGGATTACTTGTTGCAATATAGGTCTTAGTGAAAGTTGAAGGTGTAATTTCAATGCAGTGCTTATGACAATGTAAATACTTAATAGACATTTGTTAAGAAATTAACACTATCCCTTTGATGTTATGCAGTTGCACAACTCACAACTAAGATTAAGCATCTATCAGCAGTTCTACACAAAAAGGTGAGTTTCCCCGATGAATGTCATTTTTCCTGAATATATTATTGTGTTTATGATTCATGATTAGAATACTTATCAATTTATGATTTGGATGATCAACTATTTGATGTGCAGACATTGTTACCTTATAGTGCCTCCTTCGTTATGGACCTTTTTATTCTGTCATGTACTTGTTGTGAATAAGTTTATTGCAAATCTAGTTTGAACGTGCTCCTTTTGCATTTAGCTAGTGTTCATAGACAGTAAGATTTATTATATTTTTAATTAGATTTCTCCTGGCCACAGGATAGGATAAGTGAATGCATTACTTTATTAGGAACAGGTTTTGAAAAGTTGTCATCAAGTATAAGTAATTTTTTGTGCTCTACAATGAGTTATAGCCATATGATTTGATAAAATATTCTTGCAAAGTAAAACACATCCATAATGGGTGACCATGGTTGGTTGGGTGTTCTATTAGTTAGAATTCTAAAAAGTGATTTGGCTTGATTTTATCTGTCTCTGGGGCTTTATTTGTTGTTGTATGTTCAGTCATAGGTAAAAGCAGAGAATTTGATATCAGCTTCCATATCGTATTTGTTCAGACGTTAGCTGTAATTTCCTGTATTGTTTGTGTTTCACTTTTTTACAGGGTGGCAATTTAATTTTTAGCTTCATTTGATCCCTAGTGTTGATCAAATATGTCTAATCTTGTTGACTGTTTATTGTGCTCATTCATTTATAGTATTATCTGTTCTATCTTGCTGCTGTTTATGTTATTTGACCAGCCTATCGTCACCAGTTCTTTGAGTTATTATCTGTGGAACACGGCAAAATATTGTGTAGACCCAGTCCATATTTACTTTGTGAACTTAACCGTACAGATTTGTTCTATGCTGTGTGACCCTGTTATTTTTATGCTGGTTCCATGAATTCTCCAAAGTAAATGTAGACTAGTAATATAGGCTACACAACTAAATAGATGGTGAAAATCTGGCATAGCATTACTATTTAATCCCTGATTCAATTCATTCTACGATGATTTAGGATGTTCATTCTCGAAAAGGTCTCCTAGCAATGGTTCAGAGGAGAAAGAGTTTGCTGAAATATCTCAGACGAACTGATTGGGATTCCTATTGTTTTGTTATCTCCAAGCTAGGTCTACGTGATAATCCTGATTATAGTAATAAAATTCGATCCAGTCGATCTGGTCTGGCGGCCAGTTCATAGGGGGACACTTTTCCAGTGATATGATGAAAAAAAGAGCCCCAACATAAAACAAATTTGGAAAAAAAATCCAGCTGGTTGATGGAATGCTGAATGGGTTGTGCAGGTTTTATCCTGTCCTACTAGCCTGGTCAGTCAGGGTGTGACTGTTTTAGACCAAACTGGTCAAGTGGCTGAATTATTCGTTTCTAAGGTCTCTGGTTTTTACAAATATGATGCACATATCAGTTGCTGAAGAAATGCGTTATTTTCTTTTGCAGTAGGGAAGATGAGATTAATATTATGATCAGCCCATTTTATTTTAATTTTAATCAGCCTTGGGTTGAATTTATGACATATTTTAATGTACCGTGCCTTGTTTATTTTATATGTTTTTGGTTGTCTTCACTTGAATAATATATCAAGCAGTATCATATTGGGAAACAGATAATTTGCTTATGAAATATTTTTTTTCGGTTCATTTTGTAAAAAGGATCGCAACCTATTACTTAAATTGCGGAATGTTTTCCCTGTTATATACGAGTCAGCAATCCGGAGAACTGGACGATTTATATTATAATAATTTCAAAAGTTGACTTTTTTTTCAATTGTTTTGTCTCCGTTTAAATTTTTCATGGAATTTAAGCAGTTGAAGAAAAGGAATTAAAATTGGTTTAGTACACTTCGTAGTAGTTTAGAATTATAATTTCATACGGGTAAGTAATCTTTTTTTGATAACCTCTGAAAATGAACGGCACGCATGGTTCAACTTCTTCGTGTTAACTTTAGCCTCTTTCATTGGAAGAAAGCCGGGGTTGTTGATCTTAACATCTACATATTTTTAATGATTTCTGAAATAAATTGTTTTTCATTACTTACTGACCTGTTTGTTTGCGCCTTTCCAGAGAAATATTATTTTATATTTAAAAGAAGTTTTAATTATACGAATTATACTTGTTTTTGGTTTTAAGATACGAAAACCTCAAAAATATTTTTGCCGTTTCAATGTTTAAATAAATCCAGATAGTTATTCTGGAAATTATTACAAAATCGTTTCAATAAAATCTTAAAACAGGTCTCTAAATATTTTGGACTATTTGTTGTTCTTTTTTTTTTTTCTTTTTTTTTTTTGCATGTATGCCGTTGATTTTCAATGTATTGTATTTATTCCTCTCAAAATTTTTAATACAAAGTAGAAGAATATACAGTTTATCTGATATTAGTACCTGCATATCGTATTTATAGTAGATGAAAAGTGTTATTATTTGACCTTTCAAGAATTTCATATAGCTTTAGTCTTTTAATCATAAAAAGTAATGTTAATATTTTTATATTAGTTCAATTTTTTAATTATGAAAAACAGTTATAGTTAGAATAAATTTAGCAACATTCAGAGTTTTTGCTGCAAGGCGCTTGTTATAACATTGCTAAACGAGAATGATTTTCCCCCCTTTTTTGGTTTGTTTAATATTAATAATATAATAATTCTTATTTTAATAACTTTATATCAAATAAATTAAACGCTTCTATTAGTCTGAAATCTGTCATTAAATAATTGATAAAATAGAATAATTAAAATATCACATGGTTTTAGACGAGAAGTAATTCATTAATTAGTTATTTAAATTTACATAGGGAGCGACGATATGCAAGAGTAAAATATGTATTCATTGTTTATTTATTTCGTATTAGTGTTTCTTGTACTATGTAGCATTAGTGTTACCTTAATATTTCGGAAGCCTTGCCTCTCACGTGTCTTCACCTCCTTATCATTATTACACGTGTCAGCCATAAAAAAATCATGCTAGAAATGTTAGTTCTATATATATATTAATATCTCAAACAATTTGCATTTCCCACGTGAAAGATTTTTCCCCCATATTTAAATGTATCACATGGTGTAGGAGAATAAATGAATAAAATTACTGGCAAATTATTCGAACACAATTATTTCTATTAATAATTAGATGAAAACTTCATTTAATTAAAAAAATTAAGTTAATAACTAGGTATACCCAAAAGGCAGTCAAATTGCAATTGAGTTTCAAATTAGCTTCAGATAAGGAAATAGCAATGGCAGCTTCTGCAGCAAAGAAGGTGTGCGTAACTGGTGCAGGAGGATTTGTAGCGTCTTGGCTTGTTAAGCTTCTTCTTTCCAAAGGTTACGTTGTCCATGGAACTGTGAGAGAACCTGGTACGTTTCCTTTTCTTCTCTCTCCCTTCATTCATTCTTTTCTCTTCCAACTAATTTGACCCATGAATTTTTTTACTCATCCGAGAAGACCCTTTTAGATTATTGCAAAACTGAATCCAAAAAACTAATTTTTTTTAGATATCAAATTTAATCAGTCTTTTCATTCACGATGGTAGTTGTTATACTACTTGTAATTCATTCATGTTATGTTTTTCATAGAAATGTGACGCTGCTTGCTTTTTTTTTTCATTCTTTTGATCTAAGGATTTGTTTGATGTGTGTATCTGAATCTGAGCAGGTAGTCAGAAATATGATCACTTGCTGAAGCTTGAGAGAGCTTCTGAGAACCTCACACTCTTCAAGGCTGATCTCTTGAATTATGAATCTGTTCACTCAGCAATTTCTGGATGCAGTGCAGTTTTCCATGTTGCTAGCCCTGTACCCTCAACAGTTGTACCCAATCCTGAGGCAAGCGTCTACTTCTTATGCAACATGCATATGTTTTGGACAGATTATATTCACACCCTTGATTTAATGGAGTCTCACCCGTTATTTCTCTTTTATATTACTTTAGTTTCTCTTGAACCATGCAATTGCATAAAACATCATAAGAGATTTGTGTTATCAAGAAATTATGCGATCTCACTTTATTGCATGAAGTAAGAAAAGTTTGTTTAGGGTGAGATAAAGGAGGAATATAAAATGAAATTTTATTAAACCTTATGAAGCGTCAGTTTAGCTTGCTTTTTTCTTTAAATTTTGTTTTTAGTTACTTTCTATTTTTGTTTATATAAAAAAGATATATTTGGAATGCTATATTCATTGCAAATTAATTAGGTCTCGGTTGGCTTCCATGATTTGGGTGACTGATATTTGGAATGCTTTTCCCTTTTAATTTAGACATGTGATTATGCAGGTAGAAGTGATTGAGCCTGCTGTGAAAGGAACTGTTAATGTACTTGAAGCTTGTCTTCAAGCTAAAGTGGAGCGAGTTATCTTTGTATCATCTGTAACTGCTGTTTCTATGAACCCGAATTTGCCTGATGACAAAGTGATTGATGAGTCCTGTTGGTCTGATAAAGATTACTGCAAAAGAACTGAGGTCTGTAAATATTTTACTTGTGTGTGTATGATATGTATGGATTTGTCATTAGACTTGTTCTCCATGGTAGCATTTTTTTTATTGGATATACTATTTATTTCATATTTTTCAGTTGGATAATATGTTTTAATTTCAATTATCAAGAACGTGTGTTAATTTAACTAATATTTCACATATGATCCAGAACTGGTATTGTTATGCCAAGACAGAGGCAGAGGAGCGAGCCCTGGACTTAGCAAAGCGAACTGGGCTTCAGCTGGTAAGAATTTGTCCTACCCTTGTGTTGGGGCCAATTTTACAGTCAAGCACTGTTAATGCAAGTAGCTTGGTTCTCCTCAAACTTGTAAAAGGTTCCTACTGCTTCCTTATCAAATTATTCTTCTTACAAAACACCAATTTACTAACTGTGCAATGGTAGTTAAAATGCCTTATTGCTTCACAATAATCATGTATCTTCCATAACATTTTTGGTCTTGTGAAAGTAGTGTTAACTTTTGGTGTGCAAAACTGATTCTGATTTCTGAGTTTGGCCTAACAATTTGCTTGGTATCATGGTTACACCCTTCACGGGGATTTTGCACTGTCAATTGCTTCTTTCCCTAATTTGTAAAGTGATGCTGGATATTTTATTTCATTTATAATCAAGTATAACAGTTACCAAATAAAAAAAAAATCATGTTATTGGGTTTGTTTTTCTGATTTGTCTGAAACTGAAGGCTGTGACTCGGTGGAGGATAAGACTCGTTGGCTAGTAGATGTTCGAGATCTAGTTGATGCAATGCTTTTGGCTTATGAGAAGATTGAGGCAGAAGGGAGATACTTATGTCTTTCACATACTGTCAAGACACGGGATTTGTTGGAGAAACTAAAGAGTATATTTCCAAACTTCAAGTACCCTGCGAAGTAAGCTTCAGTTCCTCTTGATCTATAAATCAAATGAAAATTTTTGAGTTGTAGTCATAAGCCAAGTATCAACGTAGATGTATTGACCCTTAGTTTGGATTTGATGAACTTGCATAGATACCTTATTTATGACCAATAGCTCCATCTTCTTGTATTATGTTTGCAAATTCTTAACTGATCCCTGGATGTAGGCATGTTAGGTCAAATTACATAAAATTTGTATGATGTGTGTTTTTATTAGGCTTTCCTTAATTGCTAGAATTTAAGCAAGTAAACATAGGAAGGGGGATGAGGCATCAGCCCTAAAACAAGTGCTTATTGTGTATATATTTTATAGCTGCATAATTAAATATGAGTTTCACTATTGGCAGGATTATTGAGGTGGATGATTACAAGAGTTTCAGCTCAGAGAAACTGCAAAGGTTGGGTTGGAAATACAGGCCACTGGAGGAAACACTCCTTGATTCTGTTGAGAGCTATCGCGAGGCTGGCCTCTTGCAATCAGAATAAATGTTACTAATATAAATGTGACTTATTTGTGTTTCAGTTCCTACATGTTACATGTGTGCTGCATTATCACTGTAATTCCAAGGTTTATGGCTTTCAGATTTAGAATGTTAACACTTGTGGATATTCTAGAATTCTTCTATTGGAAACCCTGAGACTCGAGTTCGACAGGTAAATTGAGGACATTGTATTCAGTATTAGATGCTTGTGAGAATTAAGTTTGTGGAACTATCAATTTCAGTATGTGAAAATTAATATGAAAAATGTTTTTTTAACCATTTTTATCTTAAAGGATCGGAAAATAATGTAACAAAAAAAGAAGTTTTTGGAAGTGAGTTTTATTTAAAATATATAAAGGGTACATTCACTTTTGGTTCAAAATTTAAAGTATATATAATAATAAGTAACAAAGTTTTGAGCTATTTTTGCATGCTTATGAAAGTCGTGGGTATAGAAAGATTCTAGCGATTTTTTGTTGTTTCGTAAAGGATTACTTTCTAATTGTTGGTTGAGGAATGTTCAGAGTGTAAACTAAGATTATCATGATAATACTCTAAAAATTTAAGATACATATTTCTGTGTGTATTTTAGAAATAAGTCCATGGCAAGTTGAACATAAAATTTAGTTACAAGTAGGTCCATTCTTTCTCGCTTCACATAAACTCCTTACCGGAAAATTTGAGTTATTTAGTTTGAAAATTTGTTTTAATATTTACTTTTTATTATAAAATAATTTTATTTTAAATTTTTTTGTAGAAAATAATAATTTTTTTTATTACTTATATACTTTTTTAAAAATAAAAACTAAAGCAAAAATAATGTATTATTTTTGTGAGAAAAATAAAAATTTATTTTTTAAAAGTAAGTGATTTTTTTGTGTTTTGTTTAAATAAAAGTGAAATAAATAGAACAAAATAAAAAATAACAGAGATGTATATACAAGAAAAATATTATAGTAAACATTAACATATAAATATTTTTTTTCAGTTTAAATTAACTAACAGACTAAGATTTTAGTTTAGTTTAAATTATTTGTTACTTTCAAAAAAGAGAAATATGCTTATATTTTAATAGTTGTTTGTACAATTTTTTATACAAGAAAGGGATAAAAAATAGGTAAAATAATAAATCAATAACAATATAAAAAACATTTATAAAAAGTTGTACAAATAATATAGCCAACAATTAACAAGCACATAACACGCACAGCTTGCAACTTATCTATCATAGGAATGCTATTATCTTCACAAACACACATAGGATTCTTAATAATGGCAGGTACTTCACTAACAATGATGTGTGATTATTGTTTCCTCTGGTTCTGATCAGCAATAAGCACCAACACCAGAAGGTGTGATTATTATTCTCAATGATGGCCTTGAAATGGCCACCCAAGCCACAAAATCATCACTCACCAACCCACAATTCTTTAAATTCAACTCTTTCAATGCCTTGCAGTTTTCAACTACTTCCCTCACCCCCTTTGCTGTAACATGCCAACAACTATGAATATCCAGAAGCACTAGTCCACTACACCTCTTCGAGATCATTGATAGTGCTTCATCCTCAATTCTTGACCCTGACAAGTTCAACACCTTCAGTTGGCAAACTTCAAAGTCTATATCAAACACTCTCATTCCTGTATAGGCCATGTTTAAATGCCTTATCTCACATCTCTTCAAAACCTCAACAACACATTCACCTGAAACACCCTCACATCCTTTTAAGTCAAGTAGCTGCAAACTGGGACAAATAGAAGTAAATTCTATTACATTTGCATCACTCAGTAAAACATTATCACCCAAATAAATTGTCTTCACTTCAAGGTTGATAACAACATCCACCTTTGAATTTGAATCTTCTACCCCAATATATGTTCTCTCCATTTTGATCTCACTAAGCAAAGGACAGTTTCTTGTGAGTATGAAAAATGTTGACCTGGTCAGCTGGCAACAACCACTAAGGTTTATAGAAGTTAAGCTATGAAGAAACATAGATAACTTGCTCATACATTGATCAGTTAGAAAGTCAACTTTTCGAAGATCCAAGCATTGAACAGATTGACATTTGGATAACAAATAAGAGATTCCTGCAAATGTACAATTGCAACAATCTTGGAGGATAAGTTTCTTTAGCAGAAGACCACCACCATCTGCAACTGAATAGAGAAACTCATCTGAGATAAAAGAATTTGACAAATCAATAGCAGTTAACCTTTTCAAGCTCCTGAATGAATCAACCAAATCCAAGTCAATGGGTATGAGGGTCAAACCAGGTCCATGTATTCTTTTCTTTTCAATGTTAAAGGAGATAGAAGTCAAACTTGGTCTAAGGCGTATTCCAGAGGCAATGCCTATTTGTGTTATCTTAAAGCAAGTGAAGAATGAAATTTCTTCCAATGACATGCAGTTTTGGCACAGAGCGAGCAAGGACTTATCAGTGATTAAGTGATTACCGGAAACATTAATCTTGTGTAGATTCTCAAGCATGGAAGACAACCTCAGTACCCCAAAATCAGATGCTTGGGAGTTCAATGGAAAGCTTATATCAAGATCTTGAAGAAATGGGAAACAATAAGCTATGACTACAAGATGGCTATCATGCAGAGAACCAATGTTTGAGCATATCAAAACCCTCAAATTTGTCATCTTTGATCCAAGTTCTCGCAACCCATCAACAGGAAGTGTTCTCTGGTTGGATAGATTAAGCAAATCAAGGTCCAACCCAGATTGTGAAACTTGATGGAGCAAGCTCTCATGCTGATGGTCGCCACCTACTTGACTTAGGTCTAAGATTTTGAGCCTTGAAAACCTCAAGAATAGCCGAGGAAGGAGTGGAATGGTTGGATCATATACTGTGAGATTGAATTGAAGCCGATTTGTGATTGAAAGGAACTGCTTGCAAACCATAGATAGAGATTCCAAGTTATGACTGTGGCCAAGGAATTTGAAGACCAATTCCCAGCATTCTTCAGGAAAATCTTTCACTGGCATATCTTGGTATTGATCTATCTAGTACCAGCACAAGTTTAGAACTTGAAGTTGAAGCCAATGTTGATGTAAAGAAGAGGGGTGGCAGGTTCAAGTGATCATGTCAGGCTATAATTAATGGATCAATGATCAATGATTTAACAACAAACCAACCTAATTAAGTGGATATTTAACAAGGTCTTGGATTATGGTCAGATTGGCTGCCGCGTTGATCAAGCTTAAGAAATGAACCTTTTGATTGTTGAAGAAGCCTCCTTCATATTTGACTAGTGCCTGTCCAAATAATGAAACTCTAGAAAGTCTTTTACTTGTTAGGTTGGCGTCAGCTATGGTATGGTATGGTGATCTGTAATTTTCACTTTTCAGGCTTTTACTTTTCATACAACTTTTAACTTTCAACAAACCGATACTCCACCCAATAACAAATGCTCAATTTTTTCATATGAACAATCTTATTATTATTGTTTGTCACATGCAAATCAAATTAATACCATTCACAAAAGTATAAAATTACCACCCTTCAGACACATCGGAGTAAGGCATTGATGCAATTGTGAAGAGTTGGTGTATTTCTAAGTATTACTTTTTTCTTGGCTTTCATTGTACTGAGTTGCTGGCTTGTGGACATTTTCGCGGATGTAACCCTGGAAGTGCACCGCACGACATCCTTGAATACAAGGATATTCAACTCATCATCCAGGGTCAGGGTGCACGACTTCCAAAATCAGTCTAGCTTAATCTTAAATATAAAAAATGCCATTTGCATTAATTAATTTAAAAAATGATAAATGCACAGCCGATAGCATTTTTATTCATTTGGATGCCATTGTTTAAGATTTGTCATAAGATATAATCTTCATTTGAATTATTTTCTCGCAAAAGATAATAATTGGTCATCTATGTATGAGGTGTGGATAGCAAGTAAACCAGCAACAGGTACAGATGGATAGATAGATGAGTATTTTCTTCTTTCTTGACAATAGGCAAAATGTATGTTGCTATTTAGCAACATGGGCAAGAGTCCAATCCAACGAAAAGCTAAGGGGAATGATATAAAAGGATTAAAAAAAATAATTTGTTAGAAGGACAAATCTAACTGCTTTAGTTTGATCATAAAAATTCATATGATTCTGAACCATTACACTGCATTTAGAATTATGTATTTTCTGCACATTTACATGTTTGCAACAAATGACGTTCTAAGAGTGAGAAGTTTTACATAGTTTTTACAAAAAAGTAAGTTTTGGTCGCTAGTTGTCCCTTGAACGTTTCTCACAGACTTTTCCAACCCATAAAAAGACTAATCTAATCTAAACAAACGAGTCCAAATCATAATTGGTTTCATTAGTAAAGGCTCTAGAAAGTTACTTCAGTAGGCGAATCCTATCCATTATCATAATTTCTTTTGGGCCTGCTTCGTCTTGTTCGTCCACATTTGATCATTTCACCAAAAACTTATGTTGTTAACACACACTCGTTTGACAAAAAAAGGACTCACTCTTCAAAGAACAAAAAAATAATACGTTTTTGAAAGTTGACAAGAAAAACTTAAAAAACAATACACAAATGTGCCCAAAGGTAATCCATAACCATTTGCTAAATCTAATTGCAAAACAGTCCCTAATGTTTTAAGATAGTGTAAAATATACCCTTTAATAAAAATCTATTAGTTGTTAATTAAAACTATCTATGAAATGAATACTAAAACTATTTCCAACAAGCAAAACACAGAAGAATGCGAGTAATTATATTCAAAGCGTAGTAGCAAGGCAAAAAAATACAGTTCTGAACAACATATGACAACCAAGTCCAACTGCTTACAACGTGTGTTATTTAAGTTAAGCAATTACATTGGCAATTATGCACAAACTTAAAAGCAAATATAGTCAAATACACTACATGTAAATTGGTAGTATTTTTCCAATTTCATTTCTTAGAGAAACAACCAAAGGAAACAAAAAACAGACTACATTTCAGACTTCATAGCACTGCCAGAACCTCGAAGATTGCACACTAGCAAACCATGCATCCATGACGCAAGAGGAATCGCTTCTGGCTTTCACTACGATCATAACTAGGAGGAGCCATTATCTTTCTCAGTGATGGCCTTGAAAATACCATCCAAGCAACAACACTAGCATCCACTTTATCACAAGACCTCAAATTTATCTCTCTCAATTGTGTGCAGATCTCTACCACTTGCCTCACTCCCTTGGCTGTTACATGAGAGCAATTTTCCAAGTGCAGGTGCAGAAGCCCTTGACAACACTTTGATATCACAGAAAGAGCTTCATCATCAATTCTCGACAGTGACAAGTTCAACTCCTCGAGTTTGGGAACTTCAAAGTTCAACCCAACTAGCTTCACTCCAGAACAGAAGGCTAAGTTTAAATGCCTAATCCCACAGCACCTCCTTAAAACTTCAACAATACCCTCAGATATGCCACGACAAGAGCTCAAGTCAAGCATCTGCAAATTGGGGCAAATGGAAGCAAACATTTCGATGCTTCCATCTTTCAAACATGAATTGCGAGCCAAATGGAGAGACTTCACTTTAGAGTTCACAACAACACCCATCGAAGAAACCTCTATTCCCTTTCTCCCAACACCCGTTGCCTCCATTTTGATCTCATCAAGCAAAGGACAATACCTGACAAGTGCAACCAAGGCTGAATCTGTGAGCATCCTACAACCACTAACATTTATAGATATCAAATTACCAAAACCCAAACACAACTCCTCCACACGCTGATCATTCAGATACTCAGCGTTTTGAAGATCCAAGTGTTGCACAAATTGACACCTCCCAAACAAGCGGAAGATTGCACGATAGCTATAGTTGGAACAATTCTGAAGAACAAGCTTCCTCAAAGGAAGACCTTCATCAGCAATATAGATAAGCAACTCATTGGTGATAGAGGAACACGACAAATCAAGACAAGTCAAGCTCTTCAACCTCACCAACGAATCAATGAAATCAGAAGTAACAAAAGGTCTTGCCAAATCCCCTTTTTTGGTTCCGCACCCTAAATTGTTAACTGACAAAGAACACAAGCAAGGCCTCAAGCCAATCGCTGAGGCAATCCCAGCTTGGGTGATGAAATGGCACTCAAAGATCACAACTTCTTCAAGAAACTTACAGTTCTTGCAGAGACTAATAAGTGACGGGTCGTTGATGAAGAAATTACCAGAGAGGTTAATCTTACGAAGCTTGGGAAGTCCCAAAGACAAAATCTTTACACCGAAATCAGAGACAGGGCCGTCAAAACTGTTAGGGTAGTTGGAACCAGCGTCTTTGGGGAAACTAAGGTCGAGTTCTTCGAGGAAAGGGAAACAATCGGCGATGAGAATCAAATCGGCGTTTCGGAGAGAACCCACGTCGGAACAAATGAGGGAGTTCAAACTTTTCACATTTTTGCCCAAAGCTCGCAACCCATTTGCGGGGATGGTAGGGTGGTGTGAGATATTGAGCGATTTGAGGGGTAGAGAGGAACGCGAGATATGGCGAAGAGGCGCGTGGAGATCACCGCGGAAGCGCGTGAGGTCGAGGGAAGTGAGAGAGGGAAACCTGAGAAGGAGGCGAGGAAGAAAAGGGAGTGTGGGTTGGGAGATGATGAGAGAGAATCGGAGGCGATTGGTGATGGAGAGGAATTGCTTGGAAACGAGAGAGAGTGGTTCCAAGTAACGATGATGGTTGATGATGAGGAATTTCATCACCAATTCCCAGCATTCATCGGGTAAGTGTAAATCTTCTGACATTGTGCTTCTCAGCAATCGAATTGGAGCCTCAAAAATATCAGAATTGTAGGCTCGTGGGTTATAGATGGAAACTGCTACTAGTTTTGAATTTTTATTGTATAGTTGTTGTTGTTCAGCTTTTCGCGATTATTGAAAATTTAAGTTCAAATTTAAATTAAAGGATGGACCCTGACCTACGTTACGGATCCATATCCATTTTGTATTTTATTGATATTCTTTGGTTGGTTCTGTAGTAGAAAGAAAATAGTAAAATGTTAAAAGTTAATTTATTTTTAAAAAATTCACTTTTAATATATTTAATGAAAAAAGTATTCAATACTTTCTGGCATCTTCTAAGTCCATAGTTCACTTTTTTATTAAGACCAACTGTTTTTCAAAATAAAGCTAACGTATCAATTCAATTCATCAAGAAGATCCAAGCAAAAGGGCAGGTAAAATGCGAGACGTTTCATGCAACTTATTTGAGGATGGGTTCTTATACCACATAATAAAACATTGAAAACTTCTAGTAATCAAGATATCAATTAAATTCAGTGGATTATGGGTTGCTACGGAAGGTTTGGAAAACAAAATTTAACTGATTTTATTTATTATTTAAACACACATTATATATTTATATTTATAGAAGCGTATTTTGAAGCGGTTAATGAACGGAGCCAAACGAAGCTGGGGTAAATGGCGATGGCGGTTCTTCAGGATCAGGAATAAGTATATCCGGTGCCGCCGGCTCTTCTGGAATCTTCGGCATGGTAAAAGGCGGTGGTTCATCCGGTAGCTCCGGTGGCGGCAAGAACACATCCGGTGTACTTGGTATGGTAAAAGATGGCGGTTCCTCTGGCATCTCCGGTGGCGGCAATAAAATATCCGGTGTCTCAGGGGTAGTAAAAGCCGGTGGTGTTGAGAGAAATGGTTGTGGTTGTGGATTGTCGGGAACCAATGGAGGTGGAAGGAAAATGTCGGGTTCAGTTGGAGTTGAAAGGAATGGTGGTGAAGATGAGAAGGGTTCTTCCGGTGGCGTCCAAAATGTGGGGGCAAGTGGCGGCGGAATGGTAATGTCTGGTGGAAACTCTGGTGGTGAATTGGTGATGAAGGGATTGGGAGGTGATAGCCATGGAAAAGTTGGTATTTGAGGGAGAGGAGGGGAAAGGACGAGAGGTGGTGGAATTATCAAGGGTGGTGTGGGTGGTAGAAAGGTTGGGGCTGGTGGTGGCGGTGATGGAACCAATGGCGGTGGAGAGGGAGATGGTTGTGAAGGTGGTGGCAATGGGCAACAGGGTGAAGTAGGAGGTGGCAATGGGCAGCATGGTGTAACAGGTGGTGGTGGACACACTGGTGGAGGTGACGGTGGTGGTGGACATGGTGGAGGTTGTGGAGGTGGTTGAGGGATAATTGGCGGTGGTAGTGAGGGTGGTAAAGGTGGTGGAGAATATTGTACTAATGGTGGAGGTGGTGGTGGAGGTGGAGATATTGGTGTGTAAGATATTGGTGGAGGAGATGCTACTATTTGGGGTGGTGCGGGATTATATGTTGGAGTTGGTGTTTGATCAAAAGGGTTGTCAGGGGAACGAAAGGTAGGGAAAGGCCAATGGCCGCAGCTTCCATATAGATATAGGAAAAATGGGTCACAGTTTGATCCTCTTGTTCTCTTTCCTCCACTGTGTCTGCTTCTGCCTCTTCTGCTTCGAGACCTTCTTCTAGATCCTGTCAACTCTGCTTCATGTTTGTGATCTTGGTGAGGGTTTCCTGTTTCCGAAAGAGACTGTGTGAGCAAAAGAAGGGCTAGCAGAGCTGTAATCAGTGTATTTGTTTTCATTTCTGCTGCTTGTTTGTTGTTTCCTGTGTGTGGAGTCAGGGATAATTTGTCGTCTCCGCTTAGTTGACACCGAAACAAGTTCTATATAGTATCTAACACTGTCTATATACAGACACAGTTTTAAGGGTAATTTTAGTCTACTGCTATAAGTGTATCAGTGTGCGTGGAAGGCTTAAATGCAGCGTGTACATTTAGGCAAGAAGTAAATACTATAGATAAGAACATGAGCATGGCCAGCTAGAAATACGCATTTTAATGGATCAGTTATGCCTTCAAACATGCACTTTCTCCGGTTGACACACACACACAAATGAAACCGATGCTTCATTCTTTTCATTTTCCTTCAGTATAGATGGGAGACTTTCAGGAGCTGATGGGTGTTGACTGTTGAAGGGCTCAATTACGTGGTAAATTATGGAAGGAAGAGCTTCTAGATGTACGTGCCAACTTTACAAATTTGATTCTCCACAGAATCTCTTCGAAGTTCAAAATTTTAGTATTTTTTTGTAGCACTCATGCCCCAAAATAATGCAGTTGTGAGTGGTAAGCATCTCAGTGCTTTGCGTGTCAAATCCTTATTCCAAGCATTTGCATGCATGGAGCCGCTCTGGAGTCCGGAGAGGTGTGGATTGGTAGTTGGCACATTGTCTCGGTAAATTCAATAAATAAGTAAAGAATACCTCCATACATAATTTATGGGACTTCAAAATCCAAATGGTAAGAGAAAGGCCATGGACAACTTTTTTGCTGAGATGGGCCATGGGCCTCAGCAAACACAAGCCCAATTTGATCCCTTCTGCAATGCCGAAATCCACCTAACTAGTCAGCCACCATTCACGATGAAGAGAAAGGAATAGGATTTTTTTCTTTTTCTTTTTTTAAATTTCAAGTTTCTTGGTTGATTGAAGTAAAAATGAACATAAAATTAAAAAAATAGTTTTAAGAAATAAAATTTTTAAAGGTTACTTTCCTAATATATATATATATACATAATTTTCTCATCACTTATTTGATTGAAAAGAAAGTGACAAAAATTGTTTTCGTTAAATACTTCGTCTCTAAAATAGATATGAATTATACAATATAATATTCATAGTTTCTGATGGTTTAACTATATCTCTGCTGAAATCAATTTTAAAGCTATTAAAATAGTTATTTATAATATATTAAATATAAAATTTATAATATTATGTCTCTTTAATTAAATAAAGAAACTTTTCAATTATTTGCAAAAATCTCCCTATTTTTGCTCTCCATCCAAATACGGTAATATAAAAGAACAAACAAATACATGCACGCACACAAAATTAAGGTATAAAAACCTATAATTCAGGGAGTAAATGCCATATTCAGCTTTACCTTCTTTCTCGCCGGAAAAATAATATACATAATCAGTAGCAATGCTAATTTTGATTTCAAAATAATGTCAAATAACATTTCATAATGGAATAATAACATTTGCTGAATAATTTGGTCTTTCTATCCAACCTTGGATTGTGTTGCACAATCTCAAAGTGTCGGATTATTTTAAAACCCAATCCTCCTAAGTCCAAATGAGATTTAAGAAAAAAGATAACAAATTTGATAGAACGTAACAATCCCATTTTTAACTCTTATTAACTCTGTTCTACAACGGACTTGCGTCATTCAAACAGTGTAATGCTGCTGAATTGTATCAATGTCAAGCCCCTTGAGTTTCACAACGGACTCGACATGTCCCTTCAATGTGTGAAGCTCCCTCAACCTATAAGACAAATAGATCAGATTAGTTTTGGTCCAGCTTTTAACCATGAAAATTTTCACATAAGCATTCGCTGTTTATTACCTTGCAACTTCAGCGCGTTTCCTAGCTTGTTCTGCGAGTTCAGACAATTCGCGGTAATTGTTTTTGTCACTAAATATCTGCTCTGCTTGAGGAGGATTCAGTCCATGTAGCGTGCGTTGAGCTGAAGCCCATTGTGCTTCTCGCTCTTCCTTTCCATAATCCTTCTTTGTTGTAAAAGCAGTCTGCATCATACATAACACAAAAGAACATATTATCAAAGGAAATACAAATTTATCATTTGCCTGACATCATTTTAACCACACAACATTTAAATGTCACCTTGTTCTCGGTAATATTACTCCAGGCCTTGCCACTTAATGCATATCGAATGGCGAATTTAAGAATATCCAACGGGATGTAGAAAATGATGCTGTAGAGCCAAATGACACCAGCCCAACCCCACCCAATTCCTTTCATCCTTGCAAAGCCCCAGTTTGCATAGACAGCTATGATTGTGGCAATCTAAAAGATAAAAAAAAACATTAGAGTTAAGTAATTTGTTGTGCCAGAGAGACAATATCAACAAATCAGCCTATAAATTCAACTCACCAGCTGTGCTATAACAAAGGCTGTAACAAGCAAGAGACCAGGGCGCTCGACAAAAGACCAACTCCTTGACCGAGTAACAAAGATAAGAGCCTGACTCACGATACTCACTTGAAGGTAAACAGCTGCTGTGAGCTCATCATCGTTATGCCTGATGGATCTGACACCAAATTTTTCCTGCCAATATTGTTGTAAGGGCTAAGCCTGAAAAAAATTTTAAACATTGTTCTTTGAAGTCTTCTTAAAATAAGACTTAATTCTTACCGTGAAGAAATCAGAAGCGTGAGCAGCCCAGAAGAACACAACAGTCATGATTGCAAGGTAGGCACCAATCACTATGCCTGTGGCAAAAATCTCGTTCAGCTTCCATGAATCTGGCATAGGTGATGGTTTCACCCTATCCTTGGAAATGGTCATAATTGTCCCGTCATTTAGTATGGCAATGATCAAAACCATAAAAGGTGAGAAATCAAACTTCCATATAAGAGCCAGTAGCATAAAGCCCAGCACGATTCGGATTGTGATAGAAACGGCGTAAATAGTATAGTTCTTCATTCTCTGAAAAATGGCTCTGCTTGTTAAAACTGCACTCACAATCACACTCAACCCAGGCTCTGTCAGGACTATGTCAGATGCACCTCGAGCTGCATCGGTTGCATCAGCGACTGCGATTCCAATATCTGCCTTTTTGAGGGCAGGAGCATCATTGACACCATCTCCAGTCATCCCACATATGTGTTTTCTATCTTGGAGTCTCTTCACAATCTCATATTTGTGCTCTGCATTTGACATTAATCATTAGTTGAATAATGATTTTTGAAGTTGTTCATCACAAAATTGTCACAATCAATGAAGTAAAATCCTCCTATAAAATTAGAATAAATTGTTCAGTTTGTTATGGACAAAATTGAAGCCAATTATGAACAAGTATTGAATTGTTAAGATCACCAACGCAAGCCACCTCTCATGAATTTTATGAACTGTAGATATATCTATTTACCAGGAAAGACACCAGCAAAGCCATCAGCCTGCTCAATAAGCTCATCAATGGGAAGCGAAGCCATAGACTCATCTTTATGCTCGCCAAGGAGGGAAGAAGAAGGGTACATGTTGCTTCCCATGCCAAGCCTGCGGCCAGTCTCCTTGCCAATAGCTAGCTGATCACCTGTAATCATCTTAACGTTCACTCCAAGATGGAGAGCACGGCGAATAGTCTCTGCACTGTCATGCCTAGGTGGGTCAAAGAGAGGCAAGAGACCCACAAATTGCCACGGTCCTCCTGCACTATCCTTGGTCTTCTCTGGAACTTCCTGGCAGTAGATAATCACAAAACTAACTTTAATTTGATTGATTTTTGTTGGAGATCAGGAGTTCTGGGTGTACGAAGGACCGCAACTTACTTGTTTGGCAACAGCAAGGGAACGGAGACCACGATCAGCAAATTTTCCGATAATGTCATGAGCTTTTCTCTTCACATCTTCCCGGAGATTGCAGAGAGCTATAATCTGGCAAGAAATTCACTATGAGCTACACTATTGATGGACATTGTATGAGGAAACAAGAGACATCAATCGTCTGCGCTAAAATTTCTAATTACCTGCTCAGGTGCCCCTTTGCTTGCTCGGTGCCAGTTGCCTTTGTCGTCTATGTATGTTATGGCTGTACGCTTGTCCACTGGATTGAAGGGCAGGAAATGCACCTCAGTGATGCCATCCCTGGCCTGTAACAAGTGTGAGAAAGTTGTCAACCCAGTTGCAATCAATCAAAGAACAATGATCGTGATTATTAAAAAGTTTGATATGATTGTTAAGAGAGCCACCCTAAGAGGTTTTACAAATCTAACACCGATGCAATCAATCAAAGAACAATGATCGTGATTATTAAAAAGTTTGATATGATTGTTAAGAGAGCCACCCTAAGAGGTTTTACAAATCTAACACCGATGCCATTAATCAGGCCAACAAGAAATCTTTATGCGCGCACAAATTGCTAAATCTGATTTTTTTCCTTGCATCATATGCTGGTTTTGCAGTGCAATTTATCCATCATGTCGTGATCATATTCATGCCATAATCAATTCTCAGGATGAAGTTTAAAAGAACTTTAAATAAAGGAACTCGAATTATAGAAATCTTATAATGCAAAATGATTTTTTTTTCCCATGAAAAATTCACGGATGTGATCTGATTATCTGAATGAGAAGTCGCATGAAAAAAACACCCTTGAATTTTTCTAACCCAGTTTTGAGGAGATAACAGATTGACTCTAAGGGCGATGATTATTAGAAGTTTACCACTTTAAATATTCACAAGCAAAAAATGTTCCCCATTTATGCTCCAAGTACTGGTAATGGATACTAAGGTACACAGGCAAGCAGAACTTAGTAAGTCAATGTATCATTGAGAAGAAACTACAAACCTCCTTTGGGTCACCCAACATTCCAACAATGCAAGCATCAATTGCATCTTGGTTCTCTACCCTAGATGCCCTAGCTCCAAGCAAAATTACAGTGTCCTTATCGGTATTTTTTGAGAAAACCTGCAATATGGACAAATCACTTCCTTGATTAGTCAAGCATAAGCATTTGACCACCTCACATCAAAATTTGTTAATTAAACATTAAATTGAT